TAATTTTAAATCAATGATTTATATTATTATTGTGGGACCAAATTATGAATAAATCTCAACTTTTAATTATAATTTGTAAGTAATCATTCTCCATAACTTGAATAATACTTGCATAGTTTCTACAACATTTTAAAAAAAAAAAAAATCAAGATAAGAATTTCGTAGGATTATAAAAATTATATAAGAAAATAGTTTAATCCATTTTATTTATTAAAAAAAATGATGACAAATTATTTGAATTGTATTTGAAGAAATATAACAAATGAAGTTTTAATCATTATATACAAAAAAAAAAAATTATATAGGTTACTCAACAACAAAATGGTCGAATATAACTAAAGTCATGGACATTGAATTTAAATCATATGGGCTCTAAATTGATAATATAATCTCAACAAAGCAAATTTGATAAGAAATTAGTTCTAAACTTTATTATTAAAAAAATAGAAATTCAAAGAGAAAATTTAGAGATGGGATTGAAAAAAATACTATAACAATGACAATCTTATAAAAGAATAAAAAGAAAAAAAAACACATAGCAATGATCTAATGTAAATTATTTTTTAAAAATTAAAAGAAAGAATATCAAATTATTACCTTGGATAAATATAGTGACGGAAAATAATTTTGTGAGATTTTTGTATTGCCTTCTCCCATACAGCTTTCATTATTTAATTATTAATACTCTTCTTATTCATAGCCAACCATTCTTTTTATATAGATATCTTTATCACTTGGTAGATAATAACAAATAATAAAAATTATGAGGATTAGGTTAAGAGGAGATAAGAAGTTATAGATAAGCGTATTTCACAAGATAAAAAATTCAAAATAAAAAAAGATAATATGTGATAAAAGGAGAAAAAAAATATAAGTAAACCAAAGTAAAGATTTAGATAGATATGTTTTTGATAGATATGGATTAACAAATCATATATTTATCTAAATTTTATTATTTTAATTTTTTTTTGTAAATCAATTAGTTAATCTTTATCTTTATCTGTAGACCATGAAATTAATTTTCATAAATTATTTATTAATTTTTATATGTTTATCTACATGGAGGAATTTTGAAATTCAAATCTTTATCCATAAACCATTAAATTAATTTTCATTTTAATTAATCAAACAAATAGAAAATGGAGGAAAATAGAAAACATGAAAGACAATCAAAGAGAGTTGCCACGTAGGAAATAGAGAGTTTTAAAGTTATGAGAATTTAATAATGAATATTTGGAGACTTTTGCCAATACAACTACATTTGGTTGAAATTTTAAATTATCTATAAGTTGTGAAATTAATTTTTTTAAATTAGGTATTTAATTTTTATCTTTATCTATAGAACATGAAATTAGTTTTCATAAATTATTTATCAATTTTTATATGCTTATTTATGGGAAGAAATTTTAAATTATCTATAAGTTATGAAATTAAGTATTTAATTTTTATCTTTATCTGTATACCATGAAATTAATTTTCATAAATTATTTATCAGTTTTTATATGTTTATCTATATGGAGGAATTTTGAAATTCAAATCTTTATCCATAAGCCATGAAATTAATTTTCATTTTAATTAATCAAACAAATAGAAAATGGAGGAAAATAGAAAACACGAAAGACAATCAAAAAGGGTTGCCACGTAGGAAAGAGATAATTTTAAAATTATGAGAATTTAGGAATGAATATTTACAAATTTTTGACAAAACCACTACATTTGATTATATATATAGTATAGATTAGAGCCCCTTTTTATAGTCTCTCTCTCAATCACACTTATTAATACTAATTAATTGGGCACTATACCATCAATTTAATCCGTTTAATTTGATCCGAATCAATTTTCAATTAAATTTCACCGTAGGCTCTAAAAATTACGCTAATCACAATGGCGTAGTCAATCTCGGTTTCTATGGCCGACAAGGCCTTCAATTTTCAGTTTATAACAGTAAGCTAAACAGATATTCCTTCGGTGAACAGATAGAAATTCAAAACCACATATATTCATATAAATGGCGCACAAAATCATATCAAACACATAATCACAATTATAATTAAGATTAATTAGCATAATACGGGACATGGTTATCACACTAATTAAACATGCTTATCCTATTGGATTTGGGCTTGCATTGTTGCAGCTTTTCACCGAATACTTGTTTTCAGGTATGTGTTTGGCAATATATGTAGGCTATCATGTTTGTGCTTTATACATGGGAGTATTGTCTTCATGTTGGATGATTTGATGATTTGATGTGTTGGTGATACGTCGCTTATTAAGTGCGACTTCTGTATTTATTAATGACCTACCGATTGAAAAAGAAGAAACGAGCTTCAAATTGTTAACATGTCCTAAAACTTTATTACCTCTATGTTGGCACATAAATTTCAACCAAATTTATATTTAAATTTCAAATACAGTCAATGACACACATGGAGCCTATGATAAGATTGTTGTAGGCAATCACTTCCCAAAATGATCAACTTGCTACGTTGAAGTGTATAAATAAAACAACGTCGTATCTCAACGACGTTATTCAAGATGCTCAAATGACACGTGGAGCCTATGAAAGATGACACCTGTAGAGCCTATAGCAAGTACACCACATAGGATGAAACCCCAAAGATCAATCCAACTAATTAGATATATAATTAATCATATAGCAATATCATTCAAAATTCAAATGGCGCTATCGTTCAATTTGAAATTCAAATTAAGGATGAGGCATTCTTATCAACTGGATGACCCTCTATAAATACGAGGACCATCACTCAAGATCGGGGATCAGAAAATCAGAAGTGAGAAGATCAGAGAGAGAGAGAGAGAAAGAAATCAAGAGCTAGAGAAGATCAGAGAGAGAGAGAAAGAAATCAAGAGCTAAAGAGGTCGTTACAAGAAAGAAGAAGAGTAACCCAGAGAACTCAAGAGCCTACGCTACAAACGCAAAATGGCAATGACTAGGTAAAGGGCTCCAAACCCAAGAATTGTACTCTGCATTCGAGGGTTCAAAACCTTAATAATTTCAATAAAATATTTATTTATTTTAAAATTGTCTTCTATTATTTATTTTGTTCTTCATTAATCGGAGTTTTAATTTATATAAAATGTGTAATTAACGATCTAGAATACAGATCGGAAATAGGAATCTGCTATTCAAATAATTAACATTGCTTAGTTCAAAAACTAAATAGTGGACATTTGTAACATAAAATTTTAAAATGAGTTGAAACACTTCATGTTTCAAAATTTGTGTCTACACTTTGCAAATTATTAGATATTTGCCCATAGTTCAGTTGGCTATTAGTAGCATACCATCGCATAAATAAATCTGAACATTGTTCAACTGTCTCTTTTGCTCTTAGTGGGCATTGATTGCCAGTCGGATCAACAGTATCCTTGGATTAGCTCTAGACTTCTATTCCATACAGCAGACACTCATTAGTGGTGGAGCAATTTCTGCCATCAAGGCTAGATGTGAAATGGAAGTGGATCGAATAGAGAAACAGTTTGATGATTGCACTGCCTTCCTTCTTAGAGTAATCTTCTATCCATGTGCATGACTCACTTGTGCCAAAAATACTTGTACATGCCCAAGCACAAAGACATTTAAAAGCAGATGTGTACACTTGCATATTTACATAATATATGGACATGGGTATGTAAAATTTTCTGAAATTGTTTTGACTGTCCAAGTCCTATCTTTCAAGCTCAATGTGGGGCATTTCCCTCATTTGGCAGGTTTGGTCACTAGAATTAACTACAACTACTTCTACATGTCTGACAATGACAACTTGATTACTGCCCCTGTCTCAGAAACCGTCTCTTCAAAGATGGGGAAGGCCTTCGCTATTAGAGCAGACTGACTGGAGTTGCTTGGAATTATTAACGATGCCATCTACTTGTGAGTTATTGCATTGTTTGTATAGAATTCAAATTAAGCATATTATGCATTATATCTATACAAGCTTTTGAGTTCTACAAATTAAGCATATTATGCGTGATATCTATACCAAGGGGTTAGTGGTTTATGTTGTGCTTTTCTGCTATGTTAATCAGTTTGCAGTATATAATCATTGTGAGAAGATTAGACTGGGAATTATATTTGGGGTCAATATTCATTTTGTTGTTGCTACTCAATCATGCAATTAACATTTCCTTTGCATTTTCAATTTTCTCTGTAAAATCTTGTAAATGCTTAGAAAAGTTCATGACATGCCTTCAGTCACTCTTTTCCACAACTATTAGAATTTCCTGCAGTTCTCTGTTAACACCACCATCCATCTTAAAGCATGCTCCAAAGAATCCTGCGATCCAAGAAGCCAACTCCAACTCCATATCTGGTTCCTATTTCTAATACAACAAATTTTATTTCTTTTTTTGAAAATTATTTTCAAGTCATTAGGGAATATAAAAGAAAAATTGTTCTTTTTCCATTTAAGCTGCGTATGAGTTCAAGAGATTTCCGCAAAAGGTTGTATAGGACTTGTGGGTAGTATTAACCAAGCTAATTACTATTATGTTGCAAGTGTGAAGATGAAAATATAGCAAAACACTTTTAACAGAACAAGATCATGTACAGCCTTCAAATCCCTTAAAATCTTTAAGATAAATCTAAAATCATCCTACTCTGAAGCACCATTTCATCTAAAATGAATGTGAACTGTATTATTCTCATTATGCTACATCATCGCCATTTAAGCTGTTTTGATGTGTTCTTCTAAAAATTTCATCCAATCCTCTTTGAAAAATGCCTAAGACCCCCAGTGGGGGTCACTGGGGAGTCGTGCGTGTAAAAAGGTGATTGGCCAAAAAAAAAAAACTTTTTTTTCTTTTTTTTTGTTTCAGCGAATGGGGCGGCGCCACGTCACTGGGGGTCGACCCCCACTGGGGTCTGAAGCACGGCTCATCCTCTTTATACTGCTAGTGTAACTAAAAATTTCATCCAATCCTCTTTTGTTACTGTATCATCAAAATCATCATAAAAATTTCCAACAACAGCATGCTCAAAAATATTCACATCTAAAAACCAAAAACAATACATATATTTTTTTACTGTTTTCATCTTGCAAGGTTAAAGTTGATTATAAAAGACTAGATCATAACTTTTCCTTATTTCCAACTAAAATCTCCAATACATAATTTGCATTATTGCAACTCAAAATTCCTAAACTAAACACGATAATTGAACTTCCCCACCTTCAAACTAAAGCGAAACTGCCGGATTGAGTACTGCACCTGTGAAAATAACCAACCCCGAAACCTCTTCCTTGATCATGAACAAGAAAGGATGATCCGCAACAAAGTTATGTTTTTCCGGCTCATAGAGTGAACATCCCATCAACATGCTGACAGTAATGGCTGCAGCCTCAGTACCTACCTCGTCTATCTCAACACAAGCTTTATGAAGAATGGCTGAAACAACTGTTTCTGATTTAACATTCAATGATACTCCCATGTCCTCCATGGCCTTGCAAACCTCAAAACCGAACGAGAATTTGAATTTCGGGATCCAAAACTTGTCGAGCTCCGCTTTCCACAAGTTCATGAGGCTCTGATCCAACAACCCATAATCGGAATTTAGCTTTTCCAAAAGATTTGGAAGTCCGTCTATCTTGTTTGGGAGCAAGAAGAACATAGAGAATCGGGGGGTGCCGTCGTTGGTGTTGTCGTAATCAGAGTCGTAATCGGAGTCATCGGTATTGATGTCATCGATTTTGGTGTTGTCGAGTGATTTGAAATTCCCACAATGGTATGGTATTTTGAGGACCTTGAAATCGTTGAATGATCTGAATAGATAGTCTTTTCGACTAGACATGAATGGGGTTGAAATTTTATCTCCGTTGAGAAGATAAAAGTCTCGGTTTCGAGTGAGATTTGCATCAAATTTTTTGGACCATGTTCCTTTGAAGTAGAGTCCGTTTGCCAGAACAAGTTGTGTCATTGGATCTAAGGAACCAGGTTCTAGAATGTTTGTGATAAGCCCTCTCGATGCTTTCTCAGCCCATGTGTTCACTTCTTCTATCACTTCCTCAGCCTGTAATTTATCATATTATGTATGTATTTAGAAACTATGTAATTTATGATATTATGTATGTATTTAGAAACTCTCGAAATCAAATTAAGGATTCAATGCTGTAATCTTTTTATTCTTTTTCAAGACACTTTGTCATGTTTTTTTTTCCTTCTACTAATGCAATATAAAATCTAATTTTATTATATGTTATTGTAGAGAAAATATTTAGAAACAAAAACCCATGATAATGAAACAATGCTGCCCTTATGATTTTGCATTGATGGTTAGATAGTTTTGAAAATATTCCAAAATCATAATACAAAATCAAATGGAGTTATTATTTTAAGACAGATACATTCAACATAATGGTATGTCTTGATTTTCTGGGGAATAAAAAGGAACCCCAAAACTCAATCAAATCAAAAGGAGATCAAAGTTCAAATCAAGGAATTGGAAATTCTGATCCTAAGAATGCGTCTATAGGGATTCATTATTTTCTTTTTCAAAGGTTTCAAAAAACTTTGGAAACACCTGCGAAAATATTCCAGAAACAAGTTTGAAAATCATATGCTCAAAGTTCTTCAAGACTGATTTCTTTTCTCTTTTTTTTGTTCTTTTTTTTTTAATTTTTTTAAAAAAAAAACTTTTCACTTTTAAATTCTAAATAATCTGATAAGTAAAAAAAAATAAAGAAGTTGAAGTTTCTTTTTTTTTTTTTAAATAAAAAGTAAAATTTTTCGGTAAAAGTTTTTTAAATTATCAATTTAAACTCTAATATTTTGATTTGTTTTAAATTTAAACTAGGCGATTGAAAATAAATCAAAAAATTAAATTATAAATTAGCAAAATTAAAATTTTGGTACATGGGTCAAACCATAGTGTTTTTTTTTTTTTTTTTTTTGTGGTAAATTTTTCAAAATTTTAATAGAAATTTTTAAAAGATTACCAAAAAAAAATAATAATAATAAATTGTGATCTTTCTTGCTATTGTCAAACAGAGTCGGAAGAACAATCCCTTCTTCATATACCATCCTCCGTATAGAGACCAAAATCGCTAATAATACAAAGATTAAAATGAAAGATATAATTGAAAGATATAATTCTGATCCAAAAAAAAAAAAGTGAAAAAAGGTGAAAGATTAATTACCTGAGTTTGAAAATCAACAGTATTGAATTCACAATCAAATATCTCTCTAAGAACCTCCTCATAACTAGGGTTTAAAGCAAACTCTTTATCAACCCAAACACCATTCACCATAGTAAAAACAAGACCCCCATTCTCTCCATCACCAGCCGCGACCGCCATGATCTCAGAAGAGTTGGAATGAATATCAGAGATAGTTTTGAACCCTAAATGGCCCATCACATGTTCTAAAGCAGGGCCAGCTAATCTAGCAGCCACCATGTTTAGAACGACATTGATCGATAATGGAGACAACACTAAGTTGTTCTTAATGCTCTTTCCAACCTCTTGAAGCAATAGATGCTTGGTAATTCTCATGCAGAATTCCATCTTTTGTAACCTCTTTTTTTGTTTGAAGATGGAGTCTTGAGGTAGAAGGGAGTTTCTTCTAGGAGCAAAGATAGTGTGGAGGTATATGTATTGTACAAGACTTGCCTTAGTTGTTGGTGCCAATAACGTAAGATTCCTTTTGGGACTCTTCAAATCCCGGTTTTTTAGTAGTGCAATTATGGTTATATAATGAAATTTATTATTATTATTATTATGAGTAATGCTAGCGATTTTAAATATTTTATCAAAATTTTTATCAAATGTCTCACATGGTTCCACACCATGGGAGACATTTGGTAAAATTTTTGGTAGAATTTTTAGGATCTCTAACATTTTTGTATTATTATTATTACTGTATTATTTTGATTAACTTGGTGGCCAAGAAAAACAGTCAAAATTCAAAGGAAAAAAATTCAAGATTTGACCATTTTAATAAAAGAAACACTGTCGCCTGTTTGGCTTGTGTTTCAGGACAAAAAATGAAAATTTATTTAATAAAAATAGATAACAAAAATATAATTAAAATTTTTAAAAATTATTTCTAACCTCCCAAAAGATACAATTCTATAAAAATGATATTTTTTGAGATTTTTTTTTTATTTGTTTCACTTTAGTTTTAAAAAAAAAATCTGAAACAAATTTTTTAAAATCAAACCAAATATGGACTCAATTTTTAATTTTGCCTAAGTTGTCATGGAGAGAGTATTTAAGTGTCAAGGTGAGTGAGATTTGAGGTTCGAGTCTATGGAGAGATGTTAATCTGCGTTATAATTTAACTACTAATATACTAACCGCTATTTTGTATATAAAAAAAAAAAACAAATAAATCTTAGTCATTTTCTCAATTTAATTTTTAATATTTTGGTTGTTTTCAATCTAAACTATCTACTTATTTTTGCTAAGTAAAACTGACAAAAAAATGTATTTGAGTTATTAAACTCAACAATATTTAAAAGGGTATTTAAGACATTTTATGTACACTTACATTGAATTTAATTGCTAAAATAACTTTTTTTATCAGTTTTACCTAGCGAAAGTAGGAGAAAAGTTTAGATTAAGAATAAATTAAAATATTATAATTTAAATTGATAAAATTTAGAGCTTAGGTCTAGAATTTTTTTGCTTTTTCTCAAATTTAAATCAAACACTATCAATCTATTCTTGTTGTAATGGGTAAGTTTATTATTTTTCTGTCTATTTTCGATAAAATAAAAAGATTATGATATTATATACATAATTGTCTTACAAAATAAATAATGTAATTATTAAAATAAAATAAATAATTTAAATCATTGAAATAAGACTTGTAATAGAGTGATGATGTCTCAAGTCGCTCATTGGAAGAACACAAACTACTAAAATTCAGGTTCTATGATTATTCTGTCATCATCATCATAATTCCTCATTCTACCAAAATTAGCTTGCTCAAATTCAGATCAACAAAAACAAATAAATGAAGACAAACTATTTTTCTACTAGATCATAACTTCATCTCATTCCTAATCAAAATCTTTCTGACATAATTACCGAACTCCAAATTAACAACTAAACCAAAGACAACGAAAATTCATATGACAATTTAAGTATTTTTTTCCTCACACAAATACTATAAACAGCTGAATTGAGTTCTGCACCTGTGAAAAAAACAAACCCCAAAATCTCATCCTTGATCATGAACACAAAAGGATGATCCGCTACGAAACTTTGTTTTTTCAGCATGTAGAACGAACATTCCTCATCCGAGCCGCAGCCTCCATGCCTTCCTCGTCTATATCAACACAAGCTTTATGAAATATGTTTGACACAAGCATTTCCTCTCTCGGATCAACGTTCAACTATATTCCCATGTGTCCTCCAAGGCCTCGCAAACATTAAAACCGTATGAGAATTTGAATTTGGGTATCCAAAACCTGTCATGTTCCACTTCCTCCAAGTTCATGAGACTCTGATTCAACAACACAAAATTATAATAAAATTAACCATTGGAAATAAAAATTAAAGTTCAAATTTGGAGTAGGTTAGTCTAGCATTTAGACCAACCCAAAGTCATTCTTGTGGTCTGACTTCACCATTAGGACCAATGTTTTCATAATTTTAAAATTAATACATATATATTTTAAAAAAATTCAAATTAAAAAGGATAAATTAAACTATTTATCAATATAAACTTATCTCTCAAAATAACTTTTCTTGGTCTAGAGCTAACAAAACAATTACCATTGTTTGAATTATATGCCACTATTAAAATTAATCTATTAAATAAATAAATAAATAAATAAAATATATTTGTATATAAAATAATTTTTAGTTGGTCCACAAACTTTTTTTTTTTTGCTCATTTTCTGATTGAACCATTTTAGTGTTTAATGTCTAATCTATTAGTATAGATGACATGACTCGTTTTTTAGTACCGTTCTAATTTTGCTTTGAACCTTTATCCACTCATCCTTCCTCTCTCAAATATAAACTTCAAGTTCACTAAAACTCTAGATTATCAAGCTAAAGATAATGAAAATCATATGACAAAAAGTTAAAATTTCCCTTATTAGAAGATGTAAGTAGTCAATTATCTTAGATTGGATTTTCTACTGCTCCAGTGAAAAGAACCAACCCTGACATCTCTTCCTTGATCATGAAGAAAAAAAGGGTGATTAGCAATGAAAATTGGATGTTCTATTCGGGACATCGCACATCCATCCATAATATAAATACTAATTGTTGCAGCCTCCGTGCCTTTCTCATCTACTTCAATAAAAGCTTGGTGAAACTTGTTTGTGACAAAGACTGGGATACCCTTACACTGTGTTTGGTTGGGGCATTTGGGGAGGGATTTGGAAAAGGAAAGGGAAAAAGTGTGTGAAACTAGGTGAAATTTAGGTACATTTTATTCACATTTCACCTACCTTTTCCATTTCTCTTTCCAAATTCCTCCTCAAATCCCCCAACCAAACACAGCATTAGAATTAGGAACATGTATCATGTCTGTAAAGTCCCTTGGATTTTCATTGGTAGGCAATGAATGTCCCACATCCAGCATTTCACCACAAACATCAAAATCATATGAGAATTTGAATTTTGGAATCCAAATTTCATCAAGTTTTTCTAAATCCATGTTTGATCTCAAGTCTTTCTGCAAGAACCCGAGATTGGACTCAAACTCTTTTAGGAGATCTTGCAATCCATCTCGTGCATCTGGGAGAAACAAGAACATAGCGAATTGGGGGTTGAGTGCTGCTTTCCCATTCCCACTATTTCGAGGACTTTGAAACCTTCACATGATCTGTATAGATATTTGTCTTGGTGGTTGGTCATAAACAGAACTGAAACTGTATCTCCATTGAGTACATAGAAATCTCTGTTTTTAGTGTATTTTGCATCAAATTCTCTAGACCAAGTTCCTTTGAAGTAGAGTCCATTTGCAAGGATGATTGCTATGTCTAGGGATAGGACTTAGGTTTAAGAATATTTGTGATAAGCCCTCTTGTTGCGGCCTTAGCTCATGAGTTAACTTCATCCACCACTTCATCAGCCTATGTAGATACAATACAACATTGTAATCAAAATTAGTCAACAAATTACAAATAGAGCTCCCTGCAATAAGTCATCATCTCTATGTAACATGGTGGTTGTCAAAAGGAACTATTGATTGCAACTTTCAGTTAGAAAACGGAGGAATTATTTAGAGAAAGATGTATATACCTTGTTTTGGAAATCAACGAGTTTGGATTCGGCATTGTGAACTCTGCTAAGAAGCTCTTGATAAGAAGGGACTATAGGAAAGCATTTTGATGCCCATGCTCCATTAACAAAAGAGATAATCAGATCTCTTCCGTGACCTCCCGTGATGTTCTAAGATGGCCCTCTTTTGCAAGTCACATCCATTATTTTCATGGAAATCGAATTGACGTCCTCTACAATTTTCAATCCAAGAAAATCAAGATACTTTTCTAGAGTGCGGCCTTTTGTTACTGCAGCAACCATGTTCAGCGTGGCATTTAGTGATAGCGGTGAGCACACGAAATTGGTCTCGCCATTACATGTTTTCTTCTCTAGTATTTGAATCACAGCATGCATGAGGTTCTGCAATGGAGAATTTGTGTTAGTTAGCATGTTCAGAAATTTGTACTTTTTATTTATGTTAATAGATTTCTGAGGAACACTGAGAATTAAGAATCGAAAGCAAATTTTGGCTAATTCTATTTTATCCAAGGGAATACACTTTATAAGCATGTTTGGTACGATGAAATGAAATGAAGTAGGAATGGAATGAGAATGAGAATGCAATATAAGGTTGAATGGAATGAAATATTCATTTCCATTCTATTATTTGGTTACCAACATGGAATGATATAGGAATCGTGAGATAATTCCTATTCTCGTGTTTGGTTATACTTATTAAACTCATAAAATGAAATAAATTTTTATTATTTATTTATTTTTTTAGCAAATTAGTAACAAATAAATTAAAATTTTATATAGATCATAATAATGGTGATAGTTGTGGAAGTCATGGTGTGAGTCGTGGTGGTGGCAGTGGCTGTATCAGTGGTGGTGATTGAAATGATAATAGGATGGTGGTAGGCTGTTGTGGCATTAGTGGTGGTGGTAAGGTGGTGTTGTGGTTGCGATAATGGTGGCAGCGGCGGCAGCCAACAGTAGTGGAGTGGTGGTTCTCGCAATGGTGATGGTGGTGGTGCGATGTTTATGAAGGTAGTAATAATAGTGGTAAGGTAGTGGTTGTGACAAATGAGATAATGGTGATAGTAGGAGCGGTGGTAGTAATTAAGGTAGTGGTTTTAACAACGGTGACATTGGTGGTTTTATGGTTGTGGATGTAGTGATAGTGGTTGTGGCAGTAATGATGGTGGTAGTAGTGGCGACATCGGTAGTACGATGGTGGTAGGATGGTGGTGTGGTGGTTGTGGCAACAACTGTGGTGGTGGTTGCAGTGGCAATAGGGTGGCGGTGGCGGTAGGGTAATGGAATGTGTGGTAGGAGAAGGGAATGGTGGTGGTAGCTAAAATGATAACATTTTTGTAAGCACCAACAAAAAAAAAAAAGTTTTTTTATTTTTTTATTTTTTTAATAGTGATTCTATGATTAAGTTGGAGAAAGGAATAGG